TGCCAGGAGGTCCTCAAAACAAAAGGCTAAAACTATAAACTATAGATAAAGTTGAAGTGAAGGCTTACAGTCAAATTTTAGTACCTCGTCACTCCTAATTGGGCAAGATGGCCAAGGCATCTAATTGAGAAAAAAAAAATGGCTTCAGCAACAAGTTTACCTGAACTCATTTACCACAAAATGAATATTCTCTTTGCTACTATCTTTTTCATCTTCGCCGCATATAAGACCCAAAAAAAAAAACCATCCTCATGTAAAAACATTAACACAATGAAGGCCTGCAGACACAAAAATTAGAAACAATTGTCTAATGCATCGAACTCACAAAGATAGCTACATGTATTACTCATGCTGAGAGATAACTGGACTGACATGAAGCAAATAAACATATAGATGCCTGCAAAAGAAACCTATTTCTAACCAAACTATAAACCTGGTATTGACTGTTGAATGCAACCCTAACAAATTCGATTCTCAGCCACATACAGATTCCAATCAATTTTCTTCAATATGATCAGATTTTGCAGCATCATGTAACCTTCTAGAACTGAGGCAGTAATGAAAATGTCATTGAACCGATGAAACTATTGCCAATCAAAATCTGATGACTGGTAACTGCCAACAGAACTTGCACAAATGCGGAATGGAAGGTAATCAAGTAGAACAGTAGAAGAATAACTAATTCCAGACCAATCAGCTATACAAGCAGGTAGCTATACCCTGAGCTCCTGAGACAAAAGTTGTGCATAAACAATAGGAAGGATATTTGACACCACATAATAAACACTATATTGTGCAGACATCCCAGAAAATGGTAAAATGTGCAAGTTAAATTTCCTTTGGCAAGGGCGATACTAATGAACTGAACAGATAAGGGTCATACCTCACATCTATATAGATCAGAATATCAAAGCAGACAGATAAGACCCGGGACGCACTCAAGTGATTCTTCAAAGTAGAGGAACATATATTTCAGATAACGAACAAAACCTAGGTAGGATTTTTTTCAATTTTTTTCTAATACTGAATGGTTATCTTGTACACCATAATAATAGAAGATAGTCAGATGTGCATGTGGGTTTCTTCAGCAAATCTTGTAAGAGATACCTCATATACGCAAAGGAAACAGTGACCTTAATTGGAAAACAAATTAAGCAATGCAAGTAAAACAACGCCTAAACTGAAAGCCTGACAGCAGCCAGGTCCATTGACATGCAAAAGAAAAATAGAAGGAAAAAATGGAGAACAGAGCTTACATCCAGAACCTTTAGTTTGCTTAGCATCTCAATGTCATGGCTGCTATACCCATCTACCAGTTGGCACATCTACGCTGCTGCTACATCCTCGCCATCCATCCACTCTAGACAAGGATCTGCGTCAGTCCCACCTGTTACATACGCTGGCTCCATGAGCACTCAGAAGCAAAACAAATCAAAAATAGATAGGAATCAGGAATTCAAATGTACAGATAGCAGTCACTCGTCTCCACCACTTGATCGAGAACCAAGTCTAGCTCATCAAAAGAGCACGTTAAGACGCAAATAGCTGGCCTTCAGCAAGTACTTATTCTCAAAAACAAAATTAAAGAAACTTCATTTACCAACATACAATTTAGGCTCTACCTTCTCCTTCAAGAATAACCAACTATCAATAACTAAAATTATATATTCCATTCAATATAAAAGAGAAGAAATCAAGGAAATCAACTAAACATTTTCTTCTCACATACCTTTCATTTTAAGATTTGCTATGCAACTAAAGGATAGATCTCAAGTAACCACCTCTTCTCTGAAAAAAAACAGAGAGAGAGAGAGAGAGAGAGGAGAGAGGAGGGAGGAGGAGAGAGAGAGAGAGAGAGAGAGAGAGAGAGAGAGAGAGAGAGAGAGAGAGAGAGAGAGAGAGAGAGATATGAAACTGCATAATCTGTTTCATAAGTCACATCAACCATAAATTTGAGAAGTTCATCTGCATTCTATGCAGCTAAACAATTTGAATGATCAAAACTGCAGTATCAATAAAAATACCATAAGGCAGATTAATTTAGGAAATAAACATTTTTTCTCTCTACAAATCAGCATGAGTTTGCAAATGGTTGAAGAAAATAAAAGGATAAACACATCAGTCAGGGTGCATCCTAACAGGTAACACAAAGGTGATGCAAAGCCATGCTTGAGTGTGGCCAAAACCTGAAACATCCGGATAGCTTGCACAATTGAGGCCATTGCAAAAAAGTAAGATGTAGGAGTACTATAGGCCAGTGAAGTATTGACGCACATGCTATATACTTAAGTGCTGTGACCTTTGGCGTACACTTGAGCACTATATAAGAACATGGCTGGTAAGATCAATGAATAATGTAATTTAGTTGATGTCGCCTCTGTAAGAAGTAGAGCTACTATACTGTGGGAGAAAAAATACAACAACATCGATAATCTCAAATATTTTTTATTCTTAAATTTAGAACTGAACAAAGTAGAATATATGACAACCGTTTTTTCCGTGCAAAGAAAATCAAAGCGCCATAATGTAGTGAGATTTTTTGCTACCCGTCACATACCAGAACATCATCAAAAAACATAATGGTTGCAACAACAACAAAAAAGCCATCTAATTTGTTATCGCTTTCTTCATTGAGACAAAAAATATATCATCTGTTTGGTTAGGGATTTCTCCAATACACATTAACATTCAGTTATTTAAGAGAAATGGTACAGACGGTAATCATCCAGGATCAATGCTAAGCGTATGGTAATTATCATTGGAACTCACTTGGGCGAAGTCCATGCTATTAAAGCGGCATGGAATTGCAGTACTTCTACCATAGATTGGCGAAACCATTATATCAAGCACATGAAAGACCAAATGTGAGCACCTGCATGTACAAAGTTAAGAGTAAGTGATAGACCAAATTTATACACGGCACTTGCAGACTGAAATCTAGGCGAAATCAACCAAACTGTGGAGCCAAAGGTTAAAACATTGTTCTGAAATACAAACTGGTGCACCTCTCTCCCTCCCTCTGTCCGCACAATGTTTGGATTGTAAAATCTGCACATATTTAAATATAGATACTTATTTAATTACATCTGAGAGTCCATCATATATGGCTAATAAATGCATAAGGTCTTATGCCATATCAGATTGGTGTTTCCAATGTCTATAATTTAATGGCATAAGAAAAGCTGATGGGCAGGCAATATGCATGTAAGAAAATTATTCAACCTGGAACAAACTTGAGCCTTTATCATCTGATTCATGGACGACAAAATTGGACTTTCGGTGCACACTCTGAAGAAGTGAAGATGGAAACCTGGCAGCTGAAATCCTAGAAACAAGAGGGATGCCAATTATTAGAAAATTCGCATTCGAAACACGTCAATTTGAGCAACCATTTAAAATTGCCTACATATAATTAATATTCAGCACCTCTGGACAATTGTTCATAAAACAAAAACAGGTTCCAGTGTGAGTGGTGCAACATGCAACTATTATCATCATTCGACCAATAGTGAATCAAGATCTGTAACAATGATGTATTATGAAAGGAAACTAAGAAACACAACCACTGACCGAGATGATGGGATACCTTGCCCTACACACTTGAGAAGCTCCATCAGCTAGTTTCTACTCACCTCAGCCAGCGACAGAGCGCGAGAAGTTCATCCGACGCCCTCCTCTTGCACGCAGGCTCCCTGCATCTAAACCCTAGCCAGGATCCTAGCCCCATCAGAACTTAGCAACCCTAAACCCAAACGAAATGCAACATGAACAACAGAGAAAGAAAGAAGGAAGAAATCCATGGATCTTGGTACTACGTGACCAGGCGATTGAAGGAAGAAAGATGACAAAAACAAAATCAAAAACGGGAAGAACTAACCAGGGAGGGCGCGGGATCTCTAGGCCGGGCCGGGCCTGCCGCCTCTCGTCGCCGTGGCTGGCCTGCCGCCCGCCGCCGGTCCCTGCTGCCCCGCGCTGCACCCCTCCGACGCCGTCGCTCCTCGCTGGGCCCCGCCCCGACGCTGCCGCGCCACTGCTCTGCCGCCATGTTTGGGCTCCAAAGGAAGGAGGGCACAGGGAGGGAGGAGAGGCGGGCAGCGGCGGTGGAGGAGCTCACGACATGGGAGGCGGCCGGCGGTGAGGCTAGGTTTTTTTTTTTTTTGAGATGGGCGAGGCTAGGGTTAGGGGCATGGGAAGGGAAGAGATGAAGAGGAGGAGCAGATTACGAATAGGAATGAGGAGGTGAGCAGCCTGGGCCCACACAGGGTCAGTCAACCACCACAGACGAGCCTTTAGCCAACGGAAAGACGACGCGTGAGGAAAAATACACCGATTGTTTTCACCGCTACACGGTAAACCCAGCTTGCGTACACGCCTGTGGATCTTCATCCCACGGTCAGAAATTGCAAACGCATGAGAGCGTGGTTACGCCGGGCTGACTAGAGGAGTAAATATAAGTGGAGTCGATTTATAGCAGGGGTAGTGACAACCGTATATGGATGTACAAGCAGCAGTCAGCTGTGCTGTCCAGCCATGTGCTATACTGAGCACAAGGCAAATGAAAAGACCAAAGGAACACAAATGTTGCTCCAGAAACGTAATCAGGCGCTCTGCCCATGAGATTAAAGAGCGCTCCATGCTAACATGTTCCCGATCCCTCATAATCCTACGGTACCTTCGTTTGCTTAGTTTGGTTATTTGCGTGCAATCAGTTCAGGTATAGGTGTTTGCAATGTATTGCATGACGCCGGTTACTTATTTTTCTTTCACAGAATTGTTTTTAGCACATTTGAATTTTTTTTAGTACAAAGTACAACTCATACACTCACAACGCACGCACACTCACCCTTATAAACACACGTACGCAAACTCTACCTCTATAAGCATCTTCGAAGACTGTGCCAGCACATTCTAAATATTGACGAAGTCACCACTTGTGCCTCGCTGTCGACGGGAGCGTCGCTTACCACTGAAAGCACAATGCCGTTAAATCCTAGAAAATTCGCTCCCACGGGGAGTCGAACCCAGGACCTGAGATGCTACTGAGGCTCTTATAACCGCTAAGCTATAAGCCCTTTCGCATTTGATTTTTCTTTTGACACAGAGAATTGGTCTTTTGTTGGGCATCATTGCACCTCGCGTCGGCGGCCATTGGACGAAGTAGGGTGTTGTTTGGAAATAGAAAAATAGAGATTGGGATTGGGAAAGGAAATAGGCTAAGAAATCTAGAACCTTCATTTATCCATCATATTAAATCTCGACTATTCATTTCATCAAGAAGCATTTCTTAATCCCTAACCCACCCTCCATTTCCCAATTGCCAAACACCACCTAGCTGATGAGCCCAGCCATATCAGGACCAGCCCAGTACCGTGGGCCTAGTTCTATTCTTCTCTACTGTGGTCAATTCGTTCCCCACTGCATTCGAACAAGGCCACCGATCGGTCTCGCCGATGAGCTCACCGGCGAGGTCGACGGTGTCGGTGGCGAGCGGAGGCGCCGCCTCCGCAGGCGAAGCTGCTGACGTCGCTGACTCCATCGATGCGCTCTACCGCAAGGACGAGGCCATGGCTGGTAAGAACCAACCCTTCGCCTCCCTCGTGCAAACCCTAGCACTAAGATGCGTCGAGTGACTCATTGGAGGCTTGCAGAGCTCAAGTCGGAGGTGATGGAGGCGCTGCAAAAGGATGTCAGGTCGCTCGATGACGACAGCTGGATGTTCGCCGCGCCACGCTCCCGCATCAACCTCGTCTCCAGGCCCGGTAAGAACACAGAACCAGTAACTTGGTCTTTCACCTCAATTAAAATTAGTTACAGTATGAACGTAGATTTGTGACCCTGTACCTATTTTCCTGAAATTGGCTGTATCAAGGTTTAGTGTTCTTGATTTAGTGAGCAGTGTATGTTCCTTTACCGGTTGCCGTATTGAGCGTGCTGCTGATAGGTGTCATGCCAGGGATTGTTCACCATTGCGACTTAATAGATTTCCTTTGTTCCCCATTGGGCGCGTATATTTATCAGGTGGTTACCTTCCCAAGCAACAAGGGAAGCTCGTTGAGTCAGTTCAAGCATCTAAGAAGACAAGGAACTTCTAGGGCGTCGATATTTGTGGTAGCAGGAAGCATACTCCATGTGGATTAATGAAGGAAAAATGGGCTCTGTTGTATCAAGGGTGGTTTGATCTGTTTTCGAGCCCATATTGTTGGTTCCTGCTAAATGCTAATTCAGTTTGGTGTACATGTTAGGATATTCAAGTGATTGAGGTGTCATGTTATGTTTATGGCTGGTGCCTTTCCCATTTTTTGCAAATTCAGCCTGCCTTGTTTTTCTTACATTATTGTTCCATCCTTTTCTGAAAAAGAATACTAGGATGTATCTCTGAGGTGCTACTTTTGTAAAAAAGACATCAAACTCGTTATACGCATACACATTCACTGACCACAAAGTGTTGGTGTTTTTGATCCACTATGACCAACATTGCAATACATCAATATCATATTTTAATCAGGTGTGAAATGAAAACTTGCAAAATGAAACCTTCTTGGTATATAAGTACTAAAACATGGAGTTCTTTTTGAATTGGATTTTTTTTTCTCTATGGCAGTGTTCTATGCCTGCTTTATGATCTAATGGATCCTGATTAGGATCTTATAAAATAGTGATCTTACTAGCTTACTCTTTCCTTATATCTGTCTTGCCTCCCAGCTACAAAAAGTCGTAGACACAGGTCGTTGCCCGAATTTCATTGTTGCCCAACATACCGAGTTCGCCATTACTACCTGCTAGACTATACAATGAATGTGCAGTGTCCTGCTGTTTTATTAGTGCCATATACCATTGACATTATAAATTGTTTAGTTGATAATGTTGGCATATTGTCTACTGAAATCAAGGGATTAGCAGTTCAGGGGTTTAGTATGATATTTGCTGCTTTTAATTTTCAGATGTTTATGAACACTGCTCACTCTCCATCCTATGTTCAACACAAACGATGCATGCGAATAGAAATGGTCGAGTCTGTAACGAAAGTAGTATCAGTAGCTTGATACCATGGTCCTGAACAGTGGCGGAGCGTGGCGCCGTGCCAAGGGGGCGCCAATCAGGGTGCTAAGAGCTTTTGTTGGCCGCAGATTTGCAGGGTAAGCGTTAGCTCGAGGCAATGAAGATCGAGCAAAGAGCTCCTGACTGCTGATTGAATCTGCAGTTTTGCTGGGTGGCTGTTTCTCTGTTGAACGTTGGACAAATCTATGCCTCGTGCTTGATTTTTTGCAGCAGATGGACAGAGAGTTTGCTACTTTAGCAGCCGGTTCTAGGATTCAGATTGGTGTGAATGATGTATGCAGCGCGGTCTGCACTAAAGCTTTCTTATAGAGACTATTCTTTGAGCCCTTCAGAAAGTTTTTTTTTTTTTTTTTTTTGGCTGCGGCCTAGAAAAGTTGGTTTTGCACGAGTCGTTTGCTCCAGAGGCAATATTCATTGTCAGTGGCCATGTTCACTGATCATGATGCTTCAACTTGAGCCTGAGATTGACTATTTTTTTGCTATCATGGGTATAGAATATCGAAGAAAGCGGTTGAGAATGTGGGCAGTCATAGTTATTTATGTTTTTTATGGACTTTTTTCATGTAAGGTAATATCCTGTAAAGTCGGAATTTTCTGTTTCATGATCATTTATAATTTCATTGCAAAAAAAAAAAAAACAGTTTATTGCATCAGATGTAGGTCATAATCATGTACTTCCAGGTGCTTTTACTAGCATTAGTATTTGTGAAAACACTGAATACTTGTAGCCTTGCCTAAGGACACCTTTCCTTGACATAATGCTATTCGTTTCCTCATTTGACCTATTGTGTGCTAACCTAAATTGATTGGATGTAATTGTGTGTAAATTGCAGTTCAATATTCCAGTTGTGTACTGGTTTATTTGGTCTGGTTATGACAACATTTTTTGTCAGAAGTTCTGGTTTAGGTTTTATCTGTAAGATTATTGTGGATTTGTTGGTACCTTCCTTATTTTGCCATATACACACTGTCATTGGTTGTTTTGATTCTCTATCTAAATGTTAGCTGAGCATTTGCTTCTGGACAGATCTTCCTGTAGCTGCTTTGTGCCTTGAATCCGTGTTGTGTTAATGATGTGATATGATTGCAGAAGGGTGTTATTTTACTTCCTGTTCACCTTGTCAAGGTATCTTTGTTGACTTTCAGTCTGAAGTTTTCGAGGGCATCATTCAGCTGTGCAGTAAGTTGGTGCTGCAAGGATCCATATTGTTTCATTGTATTTATAAGTGGAATGGCGTCAAGATATGAGGCTTTGTGTGATCTAAGTGTCGGTGGATGAATTGGAGGAATCGACAGCCAACAAGAATAGATTTTTTCTGCTGTCGTACAGTTATGGCATTATTGATTTATAGTCAGCTCGTGAAGCTTGTGCTGTTGATACCATTACCACTGCTTCCCTGGAGGGAAGAGGTGCCTGGTGCCATCACCGACGCTGCCATTTAAACCTGTTAATATATATATTTTCTTACTTGTGGTACATAGGTGCAGAGAAACATGTTTGTACCCAACAGGTGGTCACAGTATAAGTTGCCATTGAGGCATTGATCCATGGACCCGGTCCTGCTGCCCGTCCTCACCGTGTTAAACCTTTTTTTCGAAAGACCTCACCGTGTTAAACCTGATGCCCTGTTGCTTCATGATCTGCTGAAACCGCAAATTCAAAGCTGAAATGTCCAAAGCATACGAATTATTTGGAGCTGGGGTTGCTGGAAAGCAAGCAATGCAAGATTGCAGAAGTGATAAAACGTACTAGGAGTGTTCATCTTACTACAAAGTCTGGAACTAGTAGATCTGTAGTGTAACTGATGGTGTCTGCTGTAGGACGAATGCGTGATTATTGCACTATTACGCTTTTATTTCCTTGGTCGCTCGAATCTTTGTTCGTCTGCCCGCTGCATCGTTTGAACGTTTCCAAGTCTATTATCTGACTGGCCACTCGACTTGTGTTTGGTGATCCAGTGTACAGTACTGACCATAATAGTTTCTCGTGAGCGCAAGCACCTGTGCACGCGCACTGCGCTGCACTGCCTGCCTTTCCTGACCCTCGCTCGATGGCTGCTGGCTGGGCACGCAATACGCATACACATGTGGCTGCCTGGAGCCAGCTCACCTCACACTATCTACTGTACCTGTTCGTCCGAGTCGGCAGCACTATCCATGGGCAGGAATCAGGATAGACAAGCTGTGGATGATAAAGTATCTTGTGCGTGATCAGCCGCATAATTAGCGAAAAGTTGGGGCTACTCGCAACAATGGGAGTCCCAGAACAAACAGCATGCAGGCTATGAACACATGATTTTTTTTTTTGTCAAATCATCATTCCCCAAGTTACTGTAATTCACTGGCTAACTTGTGAGAGGCGGATGATAAAGGAAGATGACCAAGATGCCAAAACTACTAATAATTCACTGCTACTACAATTCTGGCATCACCGACTTTTTCATCAGTACCAAAAGAGGAACACGAAAAGAGACTGGCAGCAACGGAAAAGTGACGCTTCTCGTCCGCCTGCGCATCCGCCGTCGCCGTCTCCGCTCCAACGGCTAGCTGATGACGTCATCACCGCCGCCGCGCCGTCCTTAGCCTCCGCCCGCGGTCGAGGTCCTCCTTCAGCCGCCGGTACACGCCGCCGCGGCCACCGACGGACGCCACCGTCGCGCCCGCTGCCGCTGAAATGCAACAACAAACATCCGCCGCGCAAGCCAATCAATCAGGGAGGACGCGTGATAACCGAACGCCACGAAATTCTCGCGGGGGCTCATGATGCCTGAGAGCGATGACGGAACGCACCTCCTCCTCCGCCTGCGGTGGCGGCTGCCTCGAGGGAGTGGGCGGTGACGGCCAGCACCGGCGAATCTGCAGGCGCAAGCAACAGGGAAGAGACGGCGTCGTTAGAGGCGGGGAGCGGGGCGGGAGTGCACGCGGCGAGGGAGGAGGCGGGACGTACCGGTGAGCGCGGCGGCGGCGGCGGCGGAGGGGTCGCGGGAGAGGAGGAAGAGGACGAGGAAGCAGA